TCGATCGATTGTGTCGTATGCGCATTTGAAATCGACGAACAAATGATGTGTGGGCAAGTTGTTTTCGCGGCATTTCTGCAGTACCTGAAGAATCGCGAAAATTTGGTCCGTAGTAGCGTGGCACCCATGAATCCCGCCTGGTATTGCCCCACGAACTCTCTTACAGGCGACGGCATACAATTTGGAAGAGTACCTTGTAGGCGGCGCTGGAGGAGTGTGATCGCGCGGTAATTTCAGCAATCCAACTTGTCGCCTTTTTTGTAGATGCACTCCTCCGGTAATATCTCTTCCTCACAAATCTTGGCAATTACACCAGTTGCTCTGTTGTTTTTCAGCCAACCGATCTCCTCCTCAACTTCTTGAAGATCAGGGGCCGGTATCCTGTCGTCTTCTGCGTGTGCTCCCAGGTCTTTTGCCGTGCTACCTTCGTTTTCTGCTCCATCACCGTTGAGGTGTTCGTCATAGTACTGCTTCCACCTCTCAATCACCTCACTTTCGTTCGTGAAGTTCGTCCTCACACACATCGACTTGCGATGACCCTCTATGCCTAAAATCACAGTAGTGTGCCCTAATTTGCTACATTCTGGAAATCGCTATATTGGTTTGGTGTCCATATATGGTCGAATCGAATAGAGGCGATTCAAACAAAATTTGTGCGCTTAGCTCTGCGACATCTACTTTGGCGTGACGGTTCTAACTTGCCGCCATACGAACATCGCTGTATTCTGCTAGGTATCGAAGCACTGGATAAACGTACACACTTAGAAATAGCTAATTTTACATGTGACGGAATCCATCTTTGATAAAAAAAATATGAGACGTAAACAAACATGTCATGTAATATTAAGTGCTTCGAGACTGAAAAGTTCGTTGTTCGACGAAAAGTACGTTTGATTGGGGTCGTTAGGCATACGGACGTTAGGCATACGGACGTTAGGCATACGGACGTTAGGCATACGGACGTTAGGCATACGGACGTTAGGCATACGGACGTTAGGCATACGGACGTTAGGCATATTAAGAGATGAACTAGCCTCAGGCTAAAAATCTCTAAAATAAAGATTAAAAAAAAAAAAAAAAAAAACGTTAGGCATATGGACGTTAGGCATACGGACGTTAGGCATACGGACGTTAGGCATACGGACGTTAGGCATACGGACGTTAGGCATACGGACGTTAGGCAAACGGACGTTAGGCATACGGACGTTAGGCATACGGACGTTAGGCATACGGACGTTAGGCATAATGTACGATAGGCATAATGGACGTTGGGCATAAAGGACGTTAGGCATAATGGACGTTAGGCATAATCTACCCGATAAATTCTAGAAGGATGATAATGGGGACCGTCTATTGATTGCTGACTTCGGTGACAATAATGAAAGAGCCTTAATTTTATGGAACTCATGAAAACTTGCGACGTCTTGGATAGGCAAAGTATTGGGTTCCAGATGGTACGTTTGCCACAGTTCCTTGTTTGTTTCGGCAACTCGTATGGTATGTTTTTTTTTGTTATTGAATGAAAAACCTCAGAATTCACCATTCTTCATTTCATGAGCTGTTCTTCGGCATCATATTTTATTCAACCTTAGCTGTTTTGTTGTTGTTATTGAATGAAAAATCACAGAATTCACCATTCTTTATTTCATGAGCTGTTCTTTGAGGAAAACCTTTTCTTCTTTGACAATTGCAATGTGTGTGTAAAAATATATTAGAACAAATGTGTGATTTTTTTTATTTCTAGATGCGATTGATTTCAAGATATAGTTCAAAACTATGCTGAGTTTTCATTGCCAGATTACTAAACCGCTATCGCTACTAATCGTGGATCTAAGTAAATATGTTGCTACGTCACTTATGATTTGATGGATAATGGATTCCAAACTGTGCTTATTATATAAACTATGTTTGTTTAACTTGTATCATTTTTTATTCAACGCTTAGTTTAATTTAAGCATTGTTTACCATGCTCGAAACAGGTTTCTAGAGTTACACAGCAGCAAGGTATTTTATGCCTAACGTCTATTATGCCTAATCTATATTATGCCTAACGTCCATTATGCCTAATGACTCTATGCCTAACGTCCATTATGCCTATTGTCCGTATGCCTAACGTCCGTATGCCTAACGTATTTATGCCTAATGGGGTACACTCGTTTGATTGAGCTTTATTTCGCTTCTGTTATGACTAAATTTATGGAATAATTGACGCTCGTATATGTCACTCTTGAAGCACGTAAATTTACATGATTGTTCTAAGTGTGTAGGTCTAACCAGCAAACAGTTTTCATCACTAAGGTCCTGACGAACTAGGTTGATGCTCTAGATATTCTTGGATATATAAGCGTCTTTGTGCCTGAACACCCCCTTCGTAGACATAATATGCTGTATCTGGAGCTCCGCAATAGTAGATACTGCCAACACGACCCGATACGGTTCATGGCTTCACGCTTCAACGAAGTATCCGATATCTTTGTTTTACATGTTCCTTCTGCTGTCATATGGAATCGTCTCACCAACCGAATCTAACTCTGTGATGCGAAAGAAATTGTATGCAGTAGGTGAGTAACTGTACACCTTGTTCAAGGCTGTGTAAGCTGTGCTACTGGATTTGAATTCTTTTTTTTCGGTGGTTGCCTTACTTCTGGATGACAACTGAGATCAGCGGCGCCGATGGTGTAGTGGTAAGCGTGATTACCTCTTACCCCAGCAAGCCTGGGTTCAATCCCAGTCGGCACCACCAGGATGTTCTGGAGCATAATATCTCTGATCACGCCTTCCTTCGGAAAGGAAATAAAGCCGTTGGTTTCCGATTCATGAGTTGATGGGTCGATAGGTAGGGTCCAGGTGTGGGAGCTGCCTCGCTGGCGTCGGTAGCATTGGTGCTCAGCATGGAAAACATGATCGACGGAAAACAAATCAAGGAAAAAAAAGGCAGTTCAGATCAATGACGCTGCTGGACCAAAGCTGCCATGTTTTTAACCTTATGACTGTATTTGCATTGTGTGTTACTTTATGTAATGTTTTGCTTTGCTGGAAAATATACAGGGGTTTTACGCCAATTTGAGCATCGCTTAGCTTAAACTGGCTTTTCCCTGTCCAGCTTCATTAAGACATCTTTGGCAGATTTAGAGATCCACAGAGAGATAAAATAAATAAATAAATAAATAAATAAAACTCAGACCAAGATTATCAGGAAAATTGTGGGAATTTTAGGGAAGTTTCGACCAAGCAAATTTCTAGAACTTAAGAACAGTTCCATTGAATTCAGAAAACTGTTGGGAACGTAGAAGTTTCAAAAATTACTGTTTCGTTCGTCTCGGTCTTCAAGTGTGTTTCAATTATGATGGCAATGGCAATGGCAATGTTTCACTCGTGCGTTGTGTTCCATTTGATTATTTGAATCACGTCCTATGCCATACGTACATTTGTAACCCAAGTAACACATAAAACATCTTTTGAAAAAGAATTAGAACGGATTGTTGTATAAATGTATTATAAGAGATGCAGAAAACATCCTACGTTATATATGAGGTTTAGAGATGTTTTCATCATACTTTTTCGATTCAACATTTTCTAAAATAGTTTTCTTTTGCTTCTATGTTTAAATGTTATTTGAACGTGCATCTTACTGTTTTAATACCCCTATAAAACTTGTCGTATACAAAATCAATCCAGATTGACGTAAACATTGACGGTGCCATTGAGCCGGACTGTCTCTTCATGCAGTGATTGACAGTTTCTTATGAGGTATTCGGAGGTTTGTTATAAAGAAAGTTGAAAATACTTTTTTATGACATCTCATAAATTAATACAACTGAAAATGTGCAGGTTGTCTTATAAGGAGTTGAAAATACGTTTAAATAACATTCTGGCAATTAGATGTACGCTTTGCTACTAACAAAACGTCTTCATGACGTATCGAAGGCGTGTTGAACGAGAAAATAATTTTCATGCCATTGGCAAGAACATGATAGATACTTATAACAAACCTTTCATCAAGCGGTGTTGGTCTAGTTAGGTAGAAACAAGTCTACCGCGCCAAGGACCAGTGATCGAATCCCATGCTCAAGATTTTTTATTGGTTTTTTTTTTTGTCGCTGGTTTTTATGATGTTTCCAAAACATGTTATAAGACCATTAATTAGTTGTATAAGCTCCGCGTCTTGCGCTTTTTAGGTTGTATAAATGTATTAAATGATGTATATTAAGGTATTAGTGATTCTTTGCGTTAGTCATTACAAAGTATTTTCAACTTCTTTATGACAATCCGTGTTGCTTGGGAACTACACATACGTGTGGTAAGCTATGTGAATACAGTGTCCAACTGAATACCAGAGTCCGTATCTTCGTCTGGTATTGAAGCAACATAATTACAACCAGGATGGTCCCGCCCAAGTAACATTGCAAGTTTTATCGTGGTTTTAAAGCATTTTACAAGTCTAAATCATAGTCTACAGAACCCTCATAACACCAACATTGTTAATTCAAGCGTAACTATTCAAATCGACGTATCTGATGTTTTAAACAATCACTACAATCGACGATTTGTGGCAACTGCTAGCTCACTCACAAAAACTAACAGCACCAACTAGTAGGAGAAAGATTCCTATACCTAATGATGGTGTTTGTTTGCGTGGGTGAGATAGAAATTAAGACAAATCATCGATTGAAGTGATTGTTTCCAATGATAATTGTTAGGGCAATTAAGTTGAAAATCATACATTCGCACGTGTTGAACGTTGGGGGGCAACGTTTAACACGTGCGAGTGTACGACATGCGTAACTACTTTGGCTCTGCTTTTCCATCAGCATAGTTTCTTTTCACTTTTCAGCATAATTTTTTTTTTTTTTTTGAATAAAAAATCATGAGTTTTGTCATCTATTACATATTTTCATGTCACATTTTTATGGCAGCCAGAAAATAGGAATAATTAATGCATTACAAATTCTAATGCCAAATCAAAGAGCAAAACTTATCGCTTTTATCTCTTATTGCAGAATGAACCATGCAGCAACAACGGATGCCCAACACTATCGATTATGGAAAAGAAACTCGTGGAAAAATGCACATTGGCCACAAGAAACGGCACAAAGTTGGAGATATTTGCAACTGCAGATGATGATGAAAAATATTGCGGCATAATAACTCTCCCAAACTGCTTTTTACAACAATCCCAAATTGCAAATATCTCATCAATGGTCTTAAAATGCCCCAACACTACGGAATACGATCGAACATTCTGGTACTACCTCCTGTTCCGATTCATAGCCTCTGCAATGTTTTCGGCAAGCCTGACAATCACCGATCCCATCGCCCTGACAATGATCGAACAGTATGGGGGCGATTTCGGTCAGGAAAAATTGTTTTCCAGTGCTGGAATGGCCATCTTTACTCCACTCACCGGGCTGCTCATCGACTATTACTCCGAAGATAGCCACAGTACTTACTATACACCGGCCTTCTACACTTACGACATTCTGCTAGGACTATCGCTAATATCGGTATTTCTACTTCCGGTTGGCAAGAAGTTACCCTCGGAAAGCATCATGAAGCATCTGTGGGAAATCCTTCGTCTACCACATGTACTGATGTTCTTATTCTTCCTGTTCTTCTTGGGAAATTTCTGGGGATTCATTGAGAGCTATCTGTTTGTGATCATGAAAGAAATGGGATCTCCCAACTACCTTCTTGGGTTGACCTACACGGTTGGGACTGTTGCCAGTATTCCAATGATGTATCTCACTGGACCGATCACTCGATGGGCAGGACATGTCAATCTCCTGGTGATGGCATTCTTCGCACACGCCATCAGAATCCTAGGTTATTCTTTTATGAGGTAAGTGGAAATTACCTACCAACACATTGCTCAAGACTCTGATAATTGATAATCATTTCAGTAATCCATTCTGGTGCTTCCCGGTGGAGTTGAACGAAGCAATCTCCTGCTACTTCATGTGGGTGGTGGCCACCACTTATTGTTCTGTACTGGCTCCAAACAGCCTGGTTGCCACTTTGATCGGAGTCTCCGGGATGGTGCACTTCTGTTTGGGCAAAGGAATTGGCTCGTTTTTCGGAGGATATCTCATTGCTCTGTACGGGACGAGATTGGCATTCCGGTATATGGGATACATTGCAATTGTATGTGGATGTTGTTACAAGTTGATTCACCTAGTTTGGCTGAAAAAGTACGACAAACATCAAGCTGCTAATGGGGATCAATGTGGAGAGTGTGATTTTCAAGAGAGAAGACTATCACTGGTTCCTAAGTTTAGCCAGTTTGGAAGTATTCCAGGAAATTTGAAAGCCGATGATCAGAAAAAATTGGGCAATTAATCATCACCAGTTTAAGAACGACCATCTACCAGCGAATTTAGGAAAATTAAACAATGAACTCTAGATTTTCAAGCTGAGAATAAACAAAACCCCATTTCTTCGAGATTCTGAAAAAAAAATCAAAATATTGTCCTTTGCTAAGTTGGAGTGGCAGGAAACGTCATTCTAAACTTCTCGAATAATGTGACCCATTGTGAATAGAGCTGATGTTTTAAGGCATGCGTATTTAGGGAAAAAAATTACTTCAAACTGGCTTTTCTCTACTCAAACACTTACCACACTTCTGTAAAATAAAGAAAACATGTGTTAAAAAATAAAACTTAATAAAGAAGCTTTTGCTACCCACAAACTGGGTCCATGCATAATTTAATAAGTATACTAAATATAGGAGAGGAGGTAATCCTATAGAACGATGTAGGTCTCCTCTTCATTATCATCCGAAACTAACCATATGTTACCCATAGATTAATAAAAAAAAATCGAATTTATTATAGATGGGCCCAATCTCATGATCAGTGATGGCATTATCATAAGCAAATTGATATTTTTCCGTTCTCATTCGCTCTCAATATCACGTGTGAAATTGGATTAAAATATCATGCTTGATATTTATTTTACCAGCTACTTTGATATTGCTATTCCGAACGTGTAAAGTTGAAGCTAAGAGTTGAATCGAGGCAAGAGTGATTCCGTTGCACCTCGTTTTCTTAGAAAGAGAAGGTATAATAATGCTATCTGTTTTTTCTCTTCACCGATGGCAAATACGAAGCGACTGTGGAAGCGCTATGGAAGTTTCGGTTGCGTTCGGGTGTAAAGTAAAAATTATGAAACTCAATCTCACCACCGTTTGGTGAAATTTGCAGCTGGATAGTTTTGTTAGCTTAACTATCCTACCTAACTACTAATAACTTAACTTAATTAGCAAGATCGGTGATTTGATCTCAGACCGGCGTCTCTGAACATTTCGAACCAGTGTCTGAAGACCAGCCAGGCGGTGGAGCTCACAATTTCGGACCGCGGGGGACTATTGAGAATCATCCTTAGGATCTTGCTCTGGATCCTTTGAAGTTTAAGGTGATGGAACTTGTGCACGGCAGCTTGTTTTTAAGGAAAGGGTGGATTTTCTGTTGATAAGTGGGTAGAGCAACCTAATCAAGATGTTGGACTTGGTGGATGTTTTGTACACATGGGAACGGAACCGCAACTTGCTATCAAGGGTGAGATCAAGGTATATGACTTCACTTGCCCATTCAATGGGAGTATTATCAAGGTGGACTTTTAATTTACCAGGCGGGACAAGCCGAGATGAATTGGAGTGCGGAAATAGTACGGTCTGTGTTTTAGCTGCATTGATACAAATCATACAGCTTTTGAAATGGTCGGTCAGAACATCAAGACCTGATTGGTGTTTTCTCGTCAGAACACGGACGATTCGACCCACACCCTGAAAGAAAAGAGACATCTGAAATAAAGACGTTGAAGAGGATAGGACCAAGGAGGCTACCCTGGAGAATCACAGAAGGTCAGAAGGTGAATTATTCAAGAAGACCTGGAATGATCTGTACACAACTACAGCAACTTGTACACAAGGCCATTATGCCAGACATTGTCGAACGCCTTCTGTCTTTCATTGTCCAACAACGCCATAGCAGATGTTTTGGAAATGGACTTGTTCCCCCTGATGATGTTAGTACCCCGTGCGAGTTGGTGGATGGTAGAGTGGCCTTTCCTAAACCCAAATTTCTCGTTGAGGAAGATGTTATTTTCGTTATAGAACAACAGCAAACGGTTGAGAATCAGCTTTCGAATAGCTTCGAGATGGAGAATAAAAAGCTGATGGGGCGATCGCTTTTGGCACTGGTAGGATCTTTGGCAAGCTTGGGGCTAACTCCCAGCATGCAGGACAAGTAGTCAAGCACCAAACACTTATAAAAGATCGCTTCAAGGTACTCGAAGAAGTCTACACTCAAGTTTTTCAACTCGAGGTAGACGACTCCAACGACACCATGTTCTCGGTTGATTTAATGGCTGATATCACCTCATCAGCCGATATTCTACTTTCGTCAGGGTCAACTACGGGAGTTTGCAGCGACTCGAGACATTGCCTCCGATACATCAGGCTCGTGGCACTCACCAAGGTTAAGTGAATTCACAAAGGGTTGACCAAGAGCATTGTCCTTTTTAATTGGGGTAAAGAGTAAAGATGTATCCAAATTCTGATTAAGAGAGGAAAGGGGAGGGATGGGCCGAGGTTTATTTTTTTTAAATCTTTGGCATTTTCCAGAACGGCTTAGCAAAGTTTGGGAGAGAGCATCCTGGTGTTGCCTACGAATGGTGGTGTGGAGTCTAATGAGGTATTTAGTGGTCCGCTAAAGGTTTAGAGTATTACTCACCTCGATACTGGCGCATGTTGCTCACTGGCCCGGAAAATCGCTTCATTGATGGAGCGCAGACATCGATCGATGTCGTCGGTCATTTCCGGCTCGATACTGGTTTGGGCTGTCCATAAACTACGTAGACAGTTTAGGGGGGGGGGGGGGGTGTTGAAAATTATCTACGGTCCATACAAATTTTAAAAATTTTGTAGGGGGCGACCCTGGTGTAGTGGTTAACATCCATACCTCTTACGCCAAAGTCACGAGTTCAAATCTCACCCCCGGACAAGTCACGAATGACCCGAAAGTGTTAAAGTGACTATAATTAAAAAAAAAAAAAAATTGTATGGGCGATTGTCTACGCAGGGGGAGGAGGGGGTCAAGAATCCCAAAAAACTGTCTACGTAGTTTATGAACAGGCCCTTTCAACACAGCGTTGAAGCTGCGCCCAGTCGGTGCGGTGATAGTTGCGTCGGGATGCTTCGAATCGGTTTACGGAGGAACCCACTTCGGCCCCCAGTGCACTGCAGTGGTCTGAGCTGAGTTCTTGGTAAACCACAGGTTGCGAGATGTTTTTGGCCAAGTTGCTGATATAGATGTTAAAGGTGGCGTGTGCACCGAACCTTCTCAACCGGGTGGGAGTGTCCGGACTCAAGATATTTTTTTTTTATATCTTTATTAAGGAGACTTTCAGCCCTGGGCTGGTTCGTCTCCGGCTTGGACTCAAGATGTACTGCGTTTCTTGCAGATCATTGTACAGGATGGTACCATTTTGGTTACTGTCAAATTACAAGCCGGAAATCGGGAAGGAACACGTTAATCTCGGGTTTCAGATGTGTTTCGGCGATGATTGCGATATCGATGTTTCGTTCGTTGAGGATTTCAGCGAACTCGATGCCCTTATTCTTGAGCGAGCAAGTGTTCCATTTGGCAATTTTGATGTGCCATACTTATTGATGAGGGATACGGCAGCATGAAGCTGTTCTGTTCGGGTCCTACAGGTGCGCTGGATCATGATGACTTCTGTCACGAGTGTAACAAGTTCCACCGTTGTAGGCCGTTGGGGGGCTTCGGGATGCAGTGTTTGTCGCATATGACTGACGACTTGAGTTTGCCGGACTGTTAGGTACCCCAGCGAGCAGCAAAACGGTTGTTGAGTGGAAGTGGCGAAACCACAGGAATTTGGCGCCATTGCGGGATGGCAGGAAAGTTCTGCCCGTTATTTTCTAGCACCCTTCTGCGGCCAGGTTGATTCTGCGTAGAGGCTTCTTTCCGGATAGCAATGAATTCCGCTCGCTTCGGGCATGTCTTGCTGGTTGCCCGATTTGCTGCCCCACAATTGGCACATTTGGGATCCTCGTCCTCCATTACTTCGCAGGCATCAGGTGCGTTCTGCTTGCCACAATTGTTGCAGCGGTAAGCCATGTGGCAGTTTCTTGTTCCATGTCTGAACAGCATGCAGTTCACGCATTGGGTGACATCACGGTGGACTGGCTTGTACCGTTCCCAAATCACCACGATGTGGAAACGGGCCCGAATGCTCTGAAGGCCCTTAAAGCATATTGAATTCCTTTTCAGGTGGATCAGATACTGCTGGTCGCGGTACTTACGTGAAGCGTCATGACGATTAATCTTGAATATGTTGATCGGCTTGAGTCCATGTTGCTTCAATTCATTTGGCAGTGTGACTGTTTCCAAGTCGGGAAGGCCACGCAAGACCCCCTTGAGCGGCTTTGTCGCCTCAATATCGTGGGAGAAATACTCCACGTTTTTCTGCTTCAGCAACGCCTCGACGGCCTCGACGAACCTCGACGTGGTTCATCGCTGGAAATGATGCCTTCAGAGCACAGACCCATGGAGCCCTTGAGACCTTTACCGATGTAAAATTCGATTTTCTCCTACAAGCCTTCCAGGAATCCTTTTTCGGTTCATCGCCGTTTTCTAGGATGGCGTAACGATGGAGTCGTGCGTTGCTTCACCAAACACCGCGAAAAAGAGCACGAACACTAACTCAATTAACAACTTGAGAGAGTGTATCTTACTTGGGTTACATTTCACACTTAAATCATTTGTTGAATTGCATCTTCAAAGTCATATTTTGAATCCAATTTATTCACCTCTTATCTCTATCCTACACTGTTCTCAAAACTACCCTGAAAATTTTGCTATGCATCTCAAGTTTTTGGTATTGTTTATTCGACTGAATCTGTACAAATAAACGAATGAAAAAAAAAGTTTTTGGTACTGCCCTAAAATAAATGCAACATTCATAAAAATATTTACCCTCTCCTGGCAATATTTGGCCTCTTGCAAAGTGCCCAAAATATGTTAGAAGTTCTCTAAACTTTTTCTGAAGCTCGTGGTGCTCTGTTGAATGTATAGAAACTAACCTTTACGGATCTTTAAACTTCCTCGAATTTGTGAAAATTCTAGAAGCTACTGCTACCCTTAAAAATCATCCCTGAAGATCTCTGAACCAGAAAGAGTTAAGATTTTGAGACCAAATGCTGCAACAGGGGAGAAGTGGCATCACAAAAAAAAATACCGTGTCATTTTAGAATGGCCTTAACCTTAATTTCCCAATTGTTTCCAGAGACGAATAAGCCTTTAGGCTGAAAACCTCTTTAATAACATTCATAATATTCAGCTCTTAAATCTCAATAACATTTAGGATTTCGTTAAGATGTTTGATTTATGATAAGATAAATAATTTTCTTAGATAATTGCGGTTCAATTTCGTAATTTTAATTTAATGCTTTTTACACTAACAATACCTTGAAACCATATCTATTAGCTCAGCTAAATTCATGTCTATGTTCAAAAAAAATAAAATACCGTAAGACCAAGTTGCATTAAGTAGTGGCCATAGTGCACCCCTAGGGTACAATTTCCACTTGTAGAAAAACATGCATAATTTTTCCTCCAATGCTAACGGATAACAGATTGTGCTTGTTTTCATCT